CCCGAAATCCGCCGATTGGCCTGGAATTCGGAATCTGCCCTCATGTGCATGGACCTCAACCTGGAGGACAACAAATGTGACTGGCCGGTGATGGGGTTGATCTCTTTCTGCGTGGAGTCGGCAGTGACTCCTAACTCGCCCCCCACGATGTCAATGTCCTTCCTGGTCGACACGGCGGTGTTTCTTCAGTTCGAGAGCAAAGGCACGGTCACCACACACGAGGAACCAAGGAACCCTCCGCCCAAGGTGTTTAAGCCATCCTTCGGCAAGAGCCAAGCATAAGTTTTATTTAAGACTTGCTTACTATATGTGCGTATGTCCAGGCTTTCCTGCACCTTACCGCTTTTGGCGAAGTGTTGGGAACTGACGAATATATGTGGAAGAAGAGTCCAAGAAAGATTTCTTTTAGAAAAACATCATCCCATCAGCAGCCAAGATGCTTATCGAACATGATGACCTTGTAGTCCAAATGATCACCTGGAATGCACTGGGTATAGAGCCTGGCCACCAAGCCATCTCCATGTCCCTTGTTCATTTTCAAGCCTCAGATTTGCACTGCCTAATCAAACACTGGAAAAAAGACGTTCATCCCAACTTTTGATTACTCTAGCAGGTCATCACGGTAAAGAAGCAAGTCATTCCAACTTCTGACTGCTCTACTAGGGCAAAGAATGCAACAGAAAACCGATCCCACGGGAATCCAAGAAGCTCATGTAGGAGATGGTCCAGGGCTGACCTGTGGGGCCTTTCTTCAGCTTGTGTGGTTCTGTGACATCAAAGCTGGAGATGTGGTCTTCTGACAAAGACAAGAGCTCTCGCCTCATGATTTGTCCAAACCTCTAAATGAACAACCCTAAAGATATCCAAGTTCAACGCAGCTAACTCTAATCACTAAGAAAACATTCTCCTCAAATCTTTGCTACAGGTTGCTTCTTGACATCACGCCACTCGCCATCTCCACCATTCTTGGCACGCCAAACGCAATCCTTGGAGGTCAATTCCATGGACTTGACACTGTCGCGGGTCTGGTCTAGCAGCAGGAGCCCTCGCGTATTGAACTGCCTGGGATTTGGAATGTGACAAAATTGTCCCAGGAACCTTCAGAATGGACCTTCGAAAGAAACACATCCCCTTTAATAAAGGAAAGCTGGGACAGTATTTGATGAAAAAGTGACGCTCGCCAAATTTGCGTTGAACATTATTAAACGTTATCATGATCGATTATACGTAAAATTAATATAAATCAATTAGAATTACGTATATATATATATATATTTCACCGATTGCCAAACAAAAGAAATACAACAAATATTGCAACACAAAACCCGGTTTCTGGCCCGAATATCTGGCGAACATCTGCCACTGCACGTTCGCACCCTGCAAGCCCATCTTCGATGGGAATCCTGGGCTCTCTCGCATCGCATCGCCAAAACCAAACACAACCACAAACGACTGCAGGAATGCAAACACACCAACACCCCAAAATCAGACATGATGACAGGAGTCTTCAACACAAACACAAACACAAGACTTGATCTCCTCAGTTGATCTGTTCTGCAAACCCAAGACTCTGGTGTCCTTCGAAAAACTCCAAGCCTTGAAGGTGCCTGTCTTCAACAAGGTGTAGTGCGCACCGTGAAGGGACTGGATATGCGGGTCTCCGGCAGCGCCGCCGCCGGTGTTGCAGCACTGAGCACCTAATTGCTCAAACGCCGTGAAGATGCCGGGCCGTTGGGACAGGGGTAACGGTTGGTGACATTGAAGCATCAAACAGGACCCCTAAACAGTTGGGACTCCGGGACAAATGAGCAAAAGAAACAACTTTGGTAAGGAACATAAGCAAGGGACAATCGGGCGTGCCGCCTGTCGCACAGCAAGCAGTATCAGCATTGCCAGCAGCGCAGATGGTTGATGGATTTGCAATGCTGCACTCCGACTGTGCAGGACAAATGTCAGCAGGACAATTGCTGCCAGAACATTTGCATCCACCTCCGTTAAAGGTGATTTCCATGTCTTTGCAGGCATAATTCCCATTGCAAATCAAATCCAAGCAAGTCCCTGAAGCAAGATGCACCTTTGCCTTTGCACAGCTCTTTTTGCCGACGCAGTTCCTTGGGTTTGCTCGAGATACCTCGAACAAATACACAAGATAACCTCCCAAGTCCATCTAGCAAAGCTAAAAACACAAAAAAAACTGAACCTACACATTATAAGCAAACTAAAGGTTCATGCGGACATCGCTGCTTCCTTCGAAATTGAAGACCGAACCCATACATGAACCATAGTCGTCACTACCAGGAACAGCACTGCAAGTGACGCAATGATCGGAACCACTAACACGGAAAATACCTTCTTTGCAACCTTCCTTCGCTTGGCAAAAGAGGTCCTTAGTGATCGAGCAGAAAGGCTTGTCTCCAGCTTTACACTTGCGCAAGTGAAAGGCTTGTATCACACTGTGTCCAAGATTTCAACATATTGTCTTCGCCCTTGAAACAAACTTACAAATGGAGTGTCAGGGCGGAAAAAAAATGATCACCATTTAATCTTGTAGTCACTACCAAAAACTCAAGAAATCTTAAAGTATAGAAACTGACGCGCCACGACCATAGGCAAAGCATACAACCACTAAGCAAACATGTTCTGGACCGGAATACTCACTGGAGGAGATGCCACAAAAACGATTCTGGGGTTCTCTCATTCATCTGAGGCTCTCCTGAAAGTGTCGCTGACACCTTTTGGCAAATATACTTTTCACTACCAGTGCAGGACAAGCTGTGAACACCTCGTTTCGATGCGATTGAAAAGGTCTGTGAAAACAAACAAAACACTGCAGGAGTCCTTTAGTAAACAAAACCTCTGACGTTCTGGCAGGTTGACTTTATCCTTCTAGATTTCTAGGTTTGTTTGGTGAGTGTTTGTGTCGTTTATACTATATATATATAATATTTATATATATTTATATTTATATATGCATATTTGTTATGAGAGAGCGGCTTTCGGTCAATTAGGGTTTATGGATTTTTCCAAGAATTGTGCGTCGTCCCACACACCACAGTGTTTTGCCATTTCCACAGATTTCCAACCAAAAGCTGTGAAGGCATCATTCCATATCATTCCCACCTTCAAGCACAGCTCCTTTGCAGGCTTCTTTAGCTGCGCAGCACACGTCATTGGTGCAAGAACTTTGCCCGTCGCTGTTGAGGAAGAGGGTGGTTTTCTTACCACAAGCCTTGTAACCGGTGCAACAAGCAGCACCCACATTGTGCACATTGAAGGGGTAGCGGCAGGATTCTTTTCCGGAGCATGCAAGGTACTGAGAGGAATCTTTGAAAATGTAGTACTTGCCATCGTCCTCGGTGCTGCACGATGTTTCCCCGGAGCACTTGAGATACCCAAGGCTGAAGGGTCCGATTTCTTGCCCAGATGGATTGGGAGTGCATTGGCAACTCTCGTCGGCTGTGCAATCCCCCTGCTGGTTCAGATCATTGAAATCACATGTGCCAGATCGACCCACCTGGCCCGGAGCTGAAGGAAAAGAGCGGCAAAAGCCATGGTTTCAAGGATTCTGGCCAAAAAACTCTCTGCAGCACTACAGAGTCAAAGCAACGGGCAAAGGAGCGCAACTGGTACATGTAGAAAAAACATGGTCATCATGATAATGAATCAATCAACTATATATTATATACCATGACTCAAACTACAACACAGCCATTGGATCAGAAGAAAAACAACACACCGTTGGGGCAACCTCTTTCCTCTCTTCCTTTTGCGGTCTATGTTTGAAAACCAATAAACAAGCTGGCGGCGCCTTGTCGTCCCTGAGCTGTATCATGGCAACGTCGTCATCGCACCCCGGCCTGCTTTTCTCCATGAGTTCATAGAACTCCAAGACTCAAGACGAGCAACGCAACAACGGCTGGCGTCGTTCGTCCAGGTTCCAGGGCCCAGCAATCAAAAGAACACAAGCAAAAGCTCATGTTTGATCCATGTCTCAACTTCTTTGGAGCTTCGCGCCAGCAATTTGGACCATGTGATCTTTGCGTGCTCTGGGTCACCCGACTGAGAGCTTGAGCAAGACCCCACAGTCTCCTGACCGTTGTTACCAAGCAATAGAGATATCGAATGCTCAAAAGCAAAAAAAGTACAGTACACCTACTCACTAATTCCAGGACTAATTCCAGGACTGCATTACACATTTAAATCATGTTCATACCGCATACCTATCTCAGCCAAAGTGTATCCTGCACAGACCAGCCATTTTTGTCTGGCAGCAACTAAATAACTGGTTATACGCAGAAAGCAGCTACATGTCGCACTAAGGGCGGGTCAGCCAGTGTGAGTTTACCTTACGGTCACAAGTAATCTCCCAGACTCAGCTGGTTTTGCTTCACGGTTCCTTCGGCGTGATATTGGTAAAACATGCTCCTGCCCCCTTCCCACCTGTGAAGACACCTGCGTCAGCAGCATCGAAAGAAGCGCGATCCACGCCGAAGCTTTCATCGTTTGAGAATGAAGCAAAGGCAAGCGAGAAGAGTTCGAGATGAGAGTTTTCAACAGTTGCACCGGTTCGAGCCAAGCGATGCTGCAACGGCCATCATCTGACTTGCCAGAAACGAGTGAAACAACCGGCCCAAACTTGACACTATGTTCAACCACTTTTCCACGCTCAATGCGTTCAATGAAAGCTGAAAGTTCACGTTATGAGTTTTCTTTTGCAAAAAAGAGTTACTCAAAGTTCACGTTGCAGAGCTCCGAAGATCTCCGAATGTCACAGTCCGGCCGTTTGGGCCAAACGGGGTGGTGCATTAGCACGGTGGGCTGCCCTCCTTTTCAGTCTGTTCGTCTGGCAACAATATCGCGCGCCTTAAAGGGCATACAGCTGATACAGGAGTTTATCATCCCATCTGCCTCTCCTACATTTGGTGATTCCTGAAAAAGGAGGGCAGTTGGAGTTTCCCTGTGTCAAACGTCGGTCAAAGAAGTGCTGTGAGAGCGTCCAACTACTTCTCCTCCTTCTGCTCCTTCTCCTCGGCAGCCGCCATCCCCTCAGGGTCCTGAAAGGAAACGAGATCCGTGCTCAGTGCAAAATGGATAAGTTCTTCCACGTAGTCAAGTCTCAAGTCGAACACACGTCGCGCCCACGTCGCAACACTCAACGCTCCCCGGCCGGTAGCAGTCCAACATCCCACCTTTGACGTCTCTCTTGGCACGTTGAAGATTTCATTTACCGCCATAGCTGACCGCAACAGTCAAATGATTTAGATGTGTTTCCACATGCTCCCAACACTCACCCAGCATACACCAAAACCAACGAGCGGCCTCCTGTCCAAGCTCTGGCAACGCGGCGCCACTCTTCCGCGCTTGTTCCAGCTCGGTGCTCAACATCTGGACTACCTGGCCACACACAGGAAGATTATCACTAGTGTCCAGTGCATATTTTCCGCTGCATCACATCCGCCAGGCCAAAACCTAAGAAAATTCCAGGTACCATTTATTTGAATATATAGACTGTTGGGTGCGGAAACACTGATCTGGACAGCTGACCTGTGACGCAAAGCAGACCGATTCTGCCATGCAAACTCATGCGCCGTCGTAGCTACTAGGAGCAGGTGCATCGCTACTAGTAACAAGGTGCTTCCCTACTAGGAGCAAGGACGCTACTAGTTCCTAGTAACAAGGTACAACGCTGTCGGCATCCGCCTTCACGACCCCATGGGCACCGACGAAGCCCCACCTTCTTGAGGCGGGACACTTCCTGGCTGTCCGAGTTCTTCTCCACCTGCCGACGGGACGGTGACGTGTTGTGACGTGATGGTGACATCCGTCGAAGACCGAATGCCGGAAGGAGAAGGACTAGCAACACTGGATCGTTATCATCGTTTTTGCAAATAGCAATAGCAGTAGCAGGAGTAGTAGCAGTAGCAATAGCAGTAGTAGCAATAGCAGTAGGAGTACGCAGCAGTAGTAGCAGCAGCAGCAGCAGTAGTAGAACTGAATGGTAGCAAGTGGTAGTTAGTAGCACTGCATTCAAAATTCAAGTCCTTGGGAAAGTGTTCTTCTATGTAGTCGCATTCTCGTTGGCTCTCGGTCTTTCAATCTATTCTTGGTCTTTCTTCATCAACTCACCCAGGTTTGCTGGAGTGAGTATATGCTAAAGTATTTTTAAAAATACAATTACACCAGCATAGACCCAGATAGCTAGGCAGAATCCCACGACCTGTTGACATGCGACTGGCTGGAACAAGAATGTACGCAGCCTGCACAGCCAGCTTACGGCGCCTCCACACCGCGCACAACCAGCTGACACCAGCACCGGTGCGCTTTGCCTGCTGACAACACCGGCAGCGGCACTAGCACCCGACCAGCGCCGCCGCCCAGCGCCGGCACCCTTTCGAAAGCGCGCACGGCTCATTCTTATTTGCAGTAAGAACCCCATAGCTATCCCTATTTGGGGAATAACAACGTATGATCTTGCGCGCGAACGTTTATGCGCGCAAAAAGTATGCACGCAAACAGCAAAGCCCGTAAGTGTCATTGGCCCAAGGCCAAGCAGTATCCAGCGCCACTAAGGGGTCTGTATCAAAATAACGAGCCCAGCCCGGGATGTTTGGATAGGTGGTATGATTCGGGAGTATGATTCGAGGTATGATTCGGGGGTATGGTTCGGGGGTATGGTTCGGGGGTATGATTCGTCCCTAAAATAGTGTATGTTCATCACATCCGCTCTGGATTAGGGTTCTTGGGTTCTGTTTCCCAGGACATCGTGTGTCTCTTGAAGTTCTGAGGTCCTCTCCTTGTTCTTGTGGGCAGCCTATGTCTCTTGAGGTCCTTGTGTCCTCACCCCGACAGTCCTGGTCCTCACCCCGACATTGGTTTGTTGGAGGTTGTTCATTTAGTTCCCAAGGCTTGACTGCAAACACCTTCCCCATCCTTCCCTGACCAGGTTGAATTAAGCACCGCATACCTTTTTAACTGTCACTATCACTGCTTGAATCATCTGAGCTGGATCCCCCATCGTTGAGGTTGATTGCAAGCACCCGCTTTCGGCGGAGGTACTTGGCTTTCTGCTTCGCAGACTGCCTCCCTCGCCTGCACAGGGCTTCCATGAAAGTACTGCGTCGACTGCAGGTTGTGTCTACGAAAGCCTGCTGCTTTTCTTTCCGCCTTTGCAGCAAGACAATGTTGAGGGGGTTCTTTTTCTGGTTGAGTTGCACGGTAAGATCTTCTCCACTCATCGGAGCATGGGGTAGAAATGGACTGAATTGTTCCTATTGATTTCCCAGCGCTGCGCTTGTCTATGCGATCACTGTACACAAAATTCCAACCACGTACATGCCCATCTGCGGCCCTGCTGAAAAGAACACAGTATGTGTATTCTATCTGCAAATCGCATTTGGCAGTATCAAGTTTGTTTACTGCAGTTTTGGGAGACGGCTCGAAGACCTTCACATAATACGCTGGGCCATCTGGAGGTGGGTCTAATGCCATCGTCCCTTGAGCTCCTTCCTCGAGCGCAGCTCTCATGTGATCCAGGCATTCTATGTTTCGAGTCCGCGCATATTGCGACACCCAATGCCTTTGCAATCCGAATGCTCCATCACAGTAGCCCTTTCCATGGTGCTCCACAAAGAAATTCAAGACAGTGGTAGGAAACTTTTCTCGGCATTGCTCTACGAGGTTCCAAGCAAACTCGTAGGAACGCAAATGCGCTCCGGCCCTCATCATTAGCTTCCTGCAGGGGGAGCTAAGAAAGCGTAATCCGTGTTGGGCAAGGGGCTGACCAGTAGAGGTTCCTGCAGGATCCCGTGCTTTCCCCCCAAAAATGACTCGTGGACAATGTTCGGTTGTGAAATGATGTGGAATGTCTTCCCTTTCTTGTGAGAATAACGTGCAGGGAAAGATGTCCTGCGCGCCAGAAGGTTCAGGTTCACCAGGTTCTGACCCAAGTGCGGAAGAGACCGCTACAACCACTTCATCTTGGCCGCTCCGGCCCTCATCATTAGTTTCCTGCAAGGGGGGGCAAAAAACAAGGTAAGTTCAACGCCTACAGCCAGCCCGGCAGAAGTCCTTGGAAGGTGGACTTGCAACGCTGCACGCTCCGCCACGCAGACTCTGTGACCCATCTGACGTGGTCTCAACAACTTGAACGCAAGGAGCTTTCTGACCATTCTCCTTCACAGGGATTGCCATGCGACATACCAAAAGTTATTACAGAAGTAACGTGGGGCAAGTACCAAAAGAACATCACTCCTCTAAGCCATTCTGTGGAGCAGTGGCCGGTCCAGCTGTGGCTGAAACATTCTTGGCGCAAGCTGGTGGCAAAGAACTGCTAGCTTCTTCAAAGAGCTGGGTGACATTGACAGCTTCCTGTACCACCTGCTTGTCCTGAAAAAGGGAAAGACAAGAACTAGACGACGAGTGGCCCGAAAGCATTTTTCATCACGTAGGAAGTCAGAGTGCGAGTTATCTGTGCAGTGTGAAGTGTTAAGTCGAGTGAGTTGAGGTAGTGTGTGGGTTTCTGTGCGTGTATCTATGTCCGTGTGGAAATGAGTCTGCGTATGTGTGTGTTCGTGTAAGTTGAGGCAGTGTGTGGGTGTCTGTGTGTGATGCGGCCTCTCAAACCCCCCACCGGCGGCCAAGCGGTGACAGCCCAGCTCATCGTCGTGAGCATTTGGGCTGCTGGTAAGGGGAGAAGCAGCGTGCACGGCGCCAGGAAAAGCTCACGGAAAAAAACGAAACACCAGCTACTCCGCGTACTAAAGTTATACTAGAAACTCGCCAGTTCTCAGCTTCCAGCTCCACAGCTACTCCGCGCACTACAGTTATACTACAAAGTCGCCGGCGCTCATCTTCCAGCTTCCTAGACACTCCGCGTGCTCAAGTTGTACTACCCACTCGCCAGTTCTCATCTTCCCACTCCCCAGCTACTCCGCGTACTAAAGTTGTACTACCAAGTCGCCAGTTCTCATCTTCCAGCTCCCCAGCTACTCCGCGTACTACAGTTATACTACACAGTCGCCAGTTCTCAGCTTCCAGCTCCACAGATTGCTCTGCGTACTAAAGTTATACTAGAAACTCGCCAGTTCTCCGCTTCCAGCTCCACAGCTACTCCGCGTACTAAAGTTGTACTACACAGTCGCCAGTTCTCAGCTTCCAGCTCCACAGATTGCTCCGCGTACTACGGTTGTACTACAAAGTCGCCAGTTATCAGCTTCCAGCTCCCCAGCTACTCCGCGCACTACAGTTGTACTACTAAGTCGCCAGTGCTCATCTTCCAGCTCCCCAGACACTCCGCGTACTCAAGTTATACTACCCACTCGCCAGTTCTCATCTTCCCACTCCTCAGCTACTCCGCGTACTAAAGTTGTCCTACCAGGTCGCCAGTTCTCACCTTCCAGCTCCCCAGCTACTCCGCGTACTGAAGTTGTGCCAGCTCCACAGCTTGCTCCGCTGCTCAACCAATCGCACTCTGGCCTGCATTTCGCGCACTCGACACGCACGATCTCCGCAGAGGGCCGCGTGCTCATTTCACAAATCACGCTCTCGCCTGCATTTCGCGCGCTCGATACGCACGATCTCCGCAGAGGGTCGCGCGGGCATCTCACAAATCGCGCTCTCACCTGCATTTCGCGCACTCGACACGCACGATCCGCGGTAATTTCACAAATCGCGCTCTCGCCTGCATTTCGCGCACTCGACACGCGCGATCTCCGCAGAGGGTTGCGCGCGCAGCCGCCAAATCGCACTCTCGCCTGCATTTCGTGTCGACCCGCGCGATCTCCGCAGAGGGTTGCGCGGTAATTTCACAAATCGCGCTCTCGCCTGCGTTTCGCGCGCTCGACGCGCACGATCTCCGCAGAGGGTTGCGCGGGCACCCGGTCAGTCGCACTCTCGCCTGCATTTCGCGCGCTCGACACGCACGATCTCCGCAGAGGGTTGCGCGCGCAGCCGGCAAATCGCACTCTCGCCTGCATTTCGCGCACTCGACACGCACGATCTCCGCAGCGGGTTGCGCGCGCAGCCGGCAAATCGCACTCTCGCCTGCATTTCGCGCACTCGACACGCACGATCTCCGCAGAGGGTTGCACTTTCGGTTGACGCTGTTCGTCCCACCCCCCGCCTTTAAGAGAGAATTTATAAAGTGGGGAAATGTTTTTTCATCAGGACATCTCCCGTGCTAGTTTTCCATACTCACACTTGCCTACTCACTGCATGCTTGCATACTCATTGCCTACTCACTGCATGCTTGCATACTCATTGCATGCTTGCAACTCATTACTTGCATACTTACACTTGCATACTTCCACTTGCATACTTTGACACTTTCATTGCATGCTTTGCACTTCACTGCTTTCGCTCTTCCACCTACACAGGGCTACGTCTAGCGTTCATGTTGTCCTGCAAGTGTGGTGAAAGTGTCAACGTCTAAGTGTAAGTGTCGAAGTGTCAGTGTTCAAAGGACTTTCCGGAAGAACCCTTCGCAATGCTTTCGGGAAAAACAAGAGAAAGAAAGAAAGAAAGAAAGAAAGAAGAAACAGAAAGAGATAAAGAGAGAGAGAGAGAGAGAGAGAAAGAGAAGCAATGTTGGAAGATCTTTAGTGGGAAAAGCATCTTGTTCAGCAAGTGGCTGGCAAGCATTCGCACAGTCCTTCATGTCACGGACCACTTGCTTCAGCTCGGCCACTGTCTGAAAGCCAGAAGCTTCACAAGCTTTCAGGGCACGGGTAATTTCATCCTTGCTCTGTCTACGACAGATGTACTTGGACTGAGTACCCAGGCTGAGCACATGGGTTTGGACCACGCCCCTGCTGGTGAGGCGGGTCTCTTCCCAAATAAAAAGCTCCGTCATTTGAGCTAGGTAAGCTACATGAACCAGCAACCACCATCGATCCCAGAAATCTGGTCTTTCAATCTTTGAAAAGAACCCCCCCTTGCAATTAAGTCTGCGACCCGGACTGCCTGATTCTTTAGGAATCCATGGTGGCCACCCCTTCTGGGACCCGAAAGAATCCTGAATCCACAGGGCCCATACCAACATTGCTAAAGAATCAGGACTCTGCCAACACATGCTGGGCACTGGCCATAAAAATCAGAACACGTTGAGCACAGTGCGCACACCTGTTTGGGAACCTGGACTCCCCTAAAGAATAGGAACACCCACCCCACATCATTGAACATTGTGATGTTATGACATGTCACTTTTGAAATCGCATTGCCATTGGATGCCATTGGCATTGATCTCCAAAGACGCGAGCGTGTGGCAAAAAGTGCACCTCTAAATAATCAGACTCCACTGCCACTCTAAAAAATGCATGGTGAACCTCATCAAGCAGCTTAATCCACCAAAGAACGGCCTGTGTTTTGAACACTTGAGCTGTCTGATGCTTTATGAAAAACAACTGTTTTGATGGGGTATGATTCGGGGGTATGATTCGCATACATCGAACATCCCTTGTTTACTCAACAGTGGTGACCTCAAAAAAATACGTACCCATATTGACTATGATCTTGCGCGTATAAGTTTATGCGCACAAAGTATGCGCACAAACGGCAAAGCCCGTAGGCTTCACTCGCCCAAGGCCAAGCAGTATCCAACACGACTATTGTGCGTGTAGCATGCTGAAGCACGCTGAAACAATGGTCGGTTGAGAGCCTAACGTTGCGCATAGAACATTATATGTACAAAAGCACGCGCGCAAACAGTACAGCGGTTGACACAGCTGTCGGCCAAAACAGAACATGAAGAGTGTAAATACCCCACAGCGCCAATATACGAAGAACCCTCAAGCGACACACCGTATGATGTTGCGTGCATAAGTTCATGCGGCCCATGACTGCTGGCACTTCGGCTGTTGGTCGCCCTTCACTGCTACAAACGGCAGGTTGTCACCCTTCACTGTCAGAAGCGGCGGTTGTTTTCACTTCACTGTCAGAAGTCGGCACCAGTACCGAGCACCGGCACGCCAGCTCACGGCACCCAGCACCAGCACCCAGCACCCTGTCTCCACCACGTGCACAGCCGGCACCCAGCACCCACCAAGTGCACAGCCAGCTCACAGCATCAGCACCAGCAGCGGCACCCGGCACCCAGCACCAGCACCGGCACCAGCAACCTGTCTCCACCACGTGCACAGCCAGCTCACAGCACCAGCACCAGCACCGGCACCCGGCACCCAGCACCAGCAACCTGTCCCCACTATGTGCACAGCTCACGGCACCAGCACCAGAACCGGCACCTAGCACCAGCAACCTGTCTCCACCACGTGCACAGCCACCTCACAGCACCAGCACCAGCACCGGCACCCGGCACCGGCACCAGCAACACCGCCAGCACCGGCACCCGGCACCCAGCACCAGCACCAGCAACCTGTCTCCACCACGTGCACAGCCAGCTCACAGCACCAGCACCGGCACCCAGCACCAGCACCCAGCACCAGCAACCTGTCTCGAAAGCGCGCACGGGCAACTCATTGTTATTTGAAGTAAGAACCCCATAGCTTCGCTATCTGGGGAATAAAGTATATCATATTTAATATTACTTGATTTGTGTGTTTGACTCGTGACCATTACACAGTCTAAGTCCAGTCTTTCGATAGAGAAGGGCACATCAGGCAAATGCTCGTGTTCCACTTCGTGTTCCTTGACCCATCAGGCCAAATGCACTTCCTGAACCAAAAACATCACGGGGATCGAGTTCCTCGACTTGATCCTTGTGGGGCAAATAGCTGCTATCACCTTCCCAAACACGATCCATTGGTGGCGCAGAATTCTGGTGATTCTGGTGGCCTACATTTTCGTATATTTTGGTGCTTTTGCGTGGTGAATGTAGGTCATATTTACTTACATGGATCGTTTGGGCTTTGCCCAACGAGCTAAGCTCGCCTTGTTGACGATGTTCTTGGCTCGCACTGCGTAGGCCAACCTTTTTTCGTCCGACGTAGGCCGTCACAGAGACATGGCACACCACAGAAATGATGTAGAACCTGACATCTCTCTTACCCTTGTCAGCTTCTTGGCTAGAGGTTGTTCCTTCTTGTGGTTGTTCCTTCTGAACTATAGTAACTCATTCAAACCCCTAGTTCCAAAACAAACTGCACCAGGAAACCATCGTCCTTCAAACAACGCGTGCCAGTTTTCCGGAAGAACACAAAAACCCTTACAACACCATACAACACTTTCTCCAATTGTCGGGAGAAGTACCCATCCTCGGTCCCTTAGACTTGGCCAGGTGTGGAGGAACAAAAACCTGAAAGATCCTAATTCCGTAATAATTTCACTATTACATATTAGTACGAGTAGTTGGAGTGTGCGACTTCTAGGGAATGAGGGCCGTTTCGATTCTTCCCATTTTTTGAGATTCCTTTGGATCCAGGGACCTTACTGCCAGAATGGTCCGTCAACTTTGCCGAATGGTCCTATGAATGAACGCTCACCTTGCTATACAACCGCTGTATTTGAGGCGGCCTCAAACACCCGAACATGGCCACCGACCCGATGTTCGCCCGCGACCCGATTTGCTGTCGAAGCAGCGCAGCAGAGGTCTCATCCAGATTGCCGGAGGCGGGGGAGCAGTTCACAAACATCTGGTCGTGCGGGAAGGGTCAAACAATGTTGAAAGGGGGTCAACGTTTTATTACTTGTTCAACATCTGATCACCCGCTTTTGAAGCTATGGCCGGTAAAGGCAACCCTTTCTCTCAGCTTGTCAAATACTTTCCTCCCCAAAGTCCAAAAGATCAACATTCTCAACGTTTAGAGTTTAGAGCCGGTTGCTGAGACAGAGTTCTGGATTTTGGCATTGGTTTGCCGTAGTCCCCAAAGTAGCTGAAGCCAAAGATCTAGTCTAGTTTTGTCGGAAAGCGATGGTTGGACATCTTGAACATGGGTAGCTAGTAGCCTTTTATTGAGCCATGCCAGCAACGAGCAAGACTGAGCCCAAAGCCAGGGTCTTTGCATTGCCACCCAAGGAGTCACTGAGCAGTTGCCTTGGAATCGCAACAGGAGCGTATAGGAACGTCATTCGATGGGTTGGCCGATCAGTAGGTCCCATGTTAGGCTGAGATTTTAAGTCAAAAAAAACATCAAAAAGCCAGCTCTTCGTCGATTTAGGGTTGAGAGCAAGGTTCCGGTCCTTGTTGCCAATGAAGTCTGAAGAGCTCTCGATGAAGGTTCCACCGCGATACAGGGTCTGCAGGTCCCGAGCGCCAAGATGCGCCAAAGAAAAACAAGAAACAGGTCTCAGTTGAAAGGTTAAACCACCTAGGGCCTTTTTGTGATCTCTATTTTTTGACCACCGACCAACCACCCAAACTATATCAACATATTGTAGTTTCATGTGTTTCCCATTGTTTTCCTATCAAAACACAGGTCAAATGGGCTCTATATATAGGTATATAATCATAGGATCATCCCCCGGCAGTAGCGAGCCAAAGTTGTTCAGCCGTTTTGACCGGTTCGGACCCGGATAGCCAAGGTCCGTCACGACGCGCAACGAGGCAACTGACAAAGCACATCAGCGTGGATTGAGAGTAGATGGCACACCCCAAGAGGTTGTTTATATGGACCCCCATCTAAAGGACATCTTGGGGTCTGCGCCATCTACTCTGAAACCACTGTAAAGAATTTCTGACTTCCAAGTCTGGCCACGTGAGCCGATGATTCCTGTAGGGCACGTGCTTTTGCCCTTTCGTCAAAGCCTCCAGCAGTTGTGCTAGAGGTGGACAGGTGGTTCACCGTCTAAGCAGCTGGGCAGCGGATGTTATCGCAAAAACAAAGAACAAAAAACAGCATTAAACAAACACAAACCTCTTTATGCCCTAGTTTGGGCAGGTAGATTTTCACGATGAAATGCTCGAACAATTTGGATTTTCACGATGAAATGCTCGAACAATTTCGAGCACTACCTTGTATTACCATGCATTACCCTTGTCCTCTTGTGCTTGGACTGAGTCGTCCTCTGCCTTAGCTGATGTCACTGTACCATCCTCAGGTCAATCAAAGAAAACAAGAACTGCCGCAAATTACGAAGTCTTATAAAACTCCACACCGTTCTTTTTAAGTACATGTTTCTTTGCTCACCCGAAACCATTGGAGAAGGTGGTGGAGCGAGCGACTCGGAAGATGCGTGGAGCCAGTGAAGCCTGGAATGTGGAAGCGAGCGCCGCGATGTGTCGAACGCGAATGCCTTCAAGGTTGAAGAAGCCAACCCTCTCCAACCTTTGAGTTAAAGTAGAATAATAGGAAACGACACCTGTGTGTGATTGTTTGTGTGTTTGTATGTTTTTGTTGCTTTTGCTATAGCTTTTCAGCTTGATCCCACCCACATGACCCCTTTGTGGAAAAACTCCAGTTGATGCGTCGAACGCCCACGCCTCGATGACATCCCCAAGAGCTGTGAGGGATTTATTGATGGATTGCGCCTGTCGCGTCGTCCGCACTCGCCTCTGGATCCCAAAAACATCCTGCTGAGCCATGCCCCGCTGTCTTGGGAGGGTTCAGGATTCGGAGACTTTTCAGCCGCAAAAACAATTCCTGATTCGATCTTTGTCGGAAAACCATCGATTTTGAGAGGGTGAGCACATGGCGGAGTGCTCACTGAACCAAAAAACAGGTGACTTCATGTGACTTCTTTGATCTTCTTGGTGGGCAGGTGTGGACAAATATCGCATGGTGTGAGGTGTATGGCCGCTCTCCCCCAAAGTAAGGGCTAAGTTAGCTCCTAGGTAGCTGGATAGCTCACGCTTCTTCAAGCAAGAAGCTACTAGGTGGAGTAGAGGGAGAGATGGGGAGATGAAGATCCATGAAGTGGGGAGGTGAGGGAGAAGAGAAAAGACTTGCGGCAAATGGGGCGAGGAAGATGGGACCGTGTGGTTCAGGTTTCGACATGGCAATTTGACCCCAAATCATGAAGTTTGTCATAGTACGCTCCCGAAAACTAACATGGAAGTGGAAAACCACCTGTTTGTAGTGGAAAATGGTCTTCCAAGGGCACCCATGTTAGTTCCAGGGAGTGTAGACGTTTTTGGAGGTTTCTAACTCTAGGAACTGACTGATTCGTGCGAGCGCTTCGCCCTCAGGCCGGGGGGCGAAGACCCTAATAGCGATAACCTCCAACCTAGTAGCTTCTAGTCACAGTACTAGAGTCTTCCACCTTCCTCCCGGCCTCCTTCATCTGTTCCCCTGTCACTTCGCTCTTCTTCAAGCGCTCGGAGCCTGCGAATCGGACCCGCGGCCCCGGTCGAGGTTGCTTGGAATCCATCTGGGAGAAGCTGGAGCAGCCGCCTGGTACGCCTTAGCTATCCAAAGGATGAGCAGGTAACATACAAGTATATACTTGCATATCATATCCTTAGGTCCCTACCCATCCTTACCCTGGCTGGAGAAGCGTCCGCTCAACATCCACGGGCCCAGTTGGGCCCACGGGTGGCCGCGCACGAGCTCCTAGGGAGAGACACAAGAGATAAGATCAAATTAGATTAGATAAGAGAAGAAAAGAAAATCCAAGATAGGATAAAGCAAGCTAGAACGAGATAAAACAAGAAAAGACTAGAACATGTAAGATAAGTTAAGGATAGTTAAGGTTTGATAAGATACAATGAGATGAGGTAAGATAAGGTAAGGAAAGGTACACAGATTAGATCGAGAAGATAGACTAGGTACATTGGAAAGATGAGAAAGCTTGGACACATGAAGAGATCAGATGAGAGCAGACTAGAAAAGGTCAGATGAGATACGGAAGGACAAGATACGTGGATCGGTAGATAGGAACAGATTTATGGATGGATTCGATCGAGTAGCTCGAGTAGATATATAGATGGATTCGATCGAGTAGATGAGGAAAAGATAGATCAGGTAAAGGCGATAGACTGGATCGATTGCAAAGATTAGATAGATTTGGTAAACAGGACAGCTAGCAATGGCCCCTGGCTGAGCGTCTCTTCCTACCTTTACTCCTGGACACCCATCGGCAAATGTACACAATAGCACAACCAACAGTCGCGCCTTTCACACATCTGTGAAGCTGCTCGAGTTCACTTCAACCCACTGCACCAAGACAGTGCACCCCTTTAACGCAACAGCAGCATTCCTTACGCTCGTGGAAAACTGCACCCAAGCGGAGATTGAGCAGCATGCTGAGCCTTCCCTCCACTACATGAAAAACTAAACTCCAGCACGGCATCGCTGCCTGCCAGATCACAAAGAGTCAGCTTTCCAGAAGAGACCTGACATGGCAGGACCATTTCGGGAACGTCCGACATCCGTGGTCCGTGGTGCTCGTCTTCTGTCTCTAGTGATTCCAGGGACCATTTTTGGCAACACAAGCTCAGAAAGGTGTTCGGTGTTCATGATTGTTCATCTCAAGTTATGTCCAATGAATATGAGATCAAAGTAGGGTATAATGCTGCCGTGCATGGTATGAAGTAAGCTTTTTATATCTTTTTATTAAAGGGACAAGCGGATGAAGGATCCTGATGGACTCCAAGCCTGCTTGGACTTCCTGTTGGTGCACTCAATGGTCACTATGAAAATCAAGTGCGACCTCAAAACAACGGCAGAGTTGGCACCCAACAAGAACGGCGGTCTGGAGCAACCCGCGCTCCGAATTTTGGCCGCGGTTCATCGAAGAGGAAAAAGTCCGGAGATTCAGCCAGCTGAGTGTGCAAAAACACTGGTTAATTGCTAATGCAGTCGTCATAACACCTTCAGGTGGCTGAGGAGTTGGCAAGAGAAAAAGGACATCATCAACTGGGGCATCGTCTTGCGTCCAACCCCATAGCAAAATACACCCCAAATCAAACAACCAAAAACAACACATGCTTTCAATGCATCCTCCAAACCTGGTTCGGGGTTTTTTCACATGCCAAAAAGAAAGCTACAGCACAGAACAGGTGGCCCGTCCAGTGTCCAGACTTTCCAAAATCCCTTCACTCCTTACGGCCCGTTGGCAAACCCTCGGCCTTGAAGAGTCAGCATTCATCTTCGTGGCCGCCACCTGACCGGCGCTTGGGCGAACCGAACTGCAGTCGGATCAGGTGTGAAGCGTTCGGTTCGCGACGTCGCGAACATGTACTGAAGCTATAAGACACGCGACCAGAGCTATGAATCTTCAACAAAATGATTCTGCAAAGACCAAAACATATTGCAAATCATGGAAAAGCATGGAAAAGCAGTTCAAATCTTGAAAAAACATGAACAGATGGCGCAATCTGTTCTTTTTTCTTTTGTTTTCGTCTCTGGGTGGCCCAGTCATGACGTCGGTCCATGCCCATTTGGATGGTCTTCTGCAGATCCTCAGGACTGGCGACCTGGACGGACTCGAGCCGTTCGGGAGAGAGACTCATCGACGGTCGGCACGGGACAGTCGAAGAAGACAAACAGATCCCAAGCAGACGCGTCAGACGCGTCAGGACATCTGTTTTTGTCCAACAAGGACATTCTTGAACATGACAAACCATTTTATAACACCCTGCAACTTAATTCCATAGTGATAAGGCGCGGACTGTGAAACAACGGACCACTCTTATTGACCAGCAAGCATGAACATGAAGAATCGATGGGCATTTGTGTTCCGGGCACCGAAACAAACAAGTGACGCTGCTTTGGATCCACCGTTTTGGTTGCGTTTACTCCGCAAATCATCGTGGCCCGCTCGATGTATCTGGAACACTGAAGACCACACGGAGACAGAAACTGATTCGGACACGGTCTGAATTTCTTTCAAACATGGACCCCAAGATCTATTTGCAGAGGAAAGCAGTCTTCCAACCAGTGGGGGACCGTAGGGTAAATCTCTTCGCCAGCCTCGATCTCAACGGCATTGTCCACCTGTTTTTGAACTGATTCGGGTTGGTGGTGTGTTTGCCATGTTGATCACATGATCTGTTTAGTCTCTGAAGATCTATCAAGTATTATGAATCTTAGTCAAGTTGCTCCTAGTTTTTGCCGCTGATGCTTGCGAACAATATCGAGACCTTCCTATTAGCTACGTTGATCTTTGGCCATGCAGAGTACAGCAAGACAATATCCAAAATGATCACACAAAATGAAATGCTATGAATTTTGCTATCTGCAAAGCATAGAATAGAGGGCACCTCCCGCATAATATGGGCTCAATCTCAATCTCCTTAGAAGGATAAAGGCACAACAGGACAAACAAATACACACACACACAAGCAAGACAAAACAAGAGGAAAAAACGGAAAACACCGAGGAGAAATCAGCTACGACACCCCCTTCTCATGCCCCTCATCATGCCACGACTGTCCGGCCAACCCCCAGGAACACCCGCCCGTCACGGAACAACCGCAGCCCAGCCCGACAGTTTGTGGCCTTCACAGTACCCCGAGGATCTTTCTTGATGTCCAAGGTAGGTGGAACCTTCCCCTGGGAGTTGGCCGAGCTGCCCGGTGGGTGTCACAGGTTTTTCAAGAAACCGCGGATGTTCAAGCGAACAGGATAACAAGATCTGCGGTTCTCTGTGGTCTGCATGTTGACTTCCAAACATGGAGGTTTCATGAGGTTTCAACGTGTGGAAGTCAAAGGTCACAACTAGATGCTTGCGGAAACGGTTCGTTCACTCCTAGAGAATTTGATGTTGCACCGGCGCTTCCATGGGCTTAGCTGAAACAACTCAATGTCGCTGGAATCCGGGTGAATGCCTGACATGCTCAGTTTAGCATTGGGATCTTGTCATGTCCACTGCCAATGCGCTTGTCCAGCTGGTGTGGAAGTGTTTCACACGGCAACTGAGAAACTCTCTCCTAAGTTACCTAAGCCGTAACCCTCCAAGCCGAGTAGTCGGAATGCCCCAGTTACAAAGTAGGTGTTTCCAAGAACGATTAGCAAACCCATCACCAAGCAATGGCCGTGCTAGCAGCCCACCACAGTCTTCACACTAGAAACTCTATAACTCCAGAGTTCCAGGCTTTGGCTTTGGTGAAGAGTAAATCCACAAGGTCGTCTCGATATAGCCTGAGGGGGCAAAGAGCATGAAAGGGACACACTAAGCAATGGAGTTCATTTCACTCATGCACTCGTCACTACAGGACGTTAAAGATGTTAAAGTATGTTTAACGTTTAAAGGTCTTTTGGGACCCTCCGCAAAATGAGCCAGCATCCCAAACCGCTGCTAGAAGCTTGATGTCCCTCCAAAAGCAAAACCGCCCAGGTTGCCATGCTGACGCGAGCTCACCCGCGGAAGTGTTCACGCCCGGTATAAAGAGTCCGACTCAAACTCTCAGCTTCAGACTCAAACATCGAGCAAACCACACGAGCCTCACACTCGTGGGCATAGCGTCCTTTGAGCGGCGAGCGGAGCTTTTCGAGCGGCGAGCAGCGGCATCTTCGGCTGACTTGATCGAGGGTCAGGGTTACCTTTTTTGTTGATGCGCTGAAGTTCTCCGGCTGTGCCAGTGTCAAAGCGCAAAAAAACGGGTTGCGCATTCTCTCTGCTCTGCGAGTATCCAGGACGTTTATCGAACATAAACTGATGTAAAGCGGCTCCGTGAGCAGGTTCGTTGTGTATTAGTTGGATACCATCGAACATGAATGAACATGATGCTGAAAAAAAACACCGACGCTGAGTCGCAGGCTGAGCACATGGAACAACTCCTGCGGATATGTGGAGCGAACCAGGTGGCGCAAGGTCAATGAAGCTCACTGCCAAAGATGGGTGATTGCACAGGATTGGATTCCTCTCAGGCGATTCACTACCAAGCAACCAAGGTCCTATCTCTTACCTGCAGCAAGTCTCCCAAAACCACATCCAGAAACCTTGCCAAACTTGATCGTCACACCACCGGTTCGTTCGTTCGTCCGAACATCAAAGAATTTGGATGCTTTGCTTCTCTGAAACACAGGAAGAAAACTATCACATTCCTGGTAGCCCTACGTGCACTCGAGTGATTTGAGATCACTTCGACACTGGACCCTGGGCTTGAAAGAGTCCTCAAACAGTGCCGAAAACGATAGAGACAATCACATGAAAATACATGAAAAACATGAGAAAACGATAGAACACGTGGGAAACTCATGGAAACTCGACTCTGAACGAGGAAACTCGGCTGGCATGCCACCCGCACAACTCCAGGGAACTCTCCTCCGCTGCACGTGGCACCAAGCCCGGCATGGCCTCGCTTCATCGGGTCCCGCACCACGGAAGATCCTGGCTATGAACCCCCTACTGACGGACCAGGACTCCTTGATCACGTGAAATCCATTGAAATCCTATACAGTACCTTTGAACCTGGTGGTGTTCATCTCTTCCAATCATAATGGGTGTGTATTAGGGAGACCTCCCAGTTCGACCCCCTGAAAGTGACCCAAACAAATACACAGACCCAAATCTCATCTTTCTTCAGGCCCAGCTGCTTTGGGTTGGTTTCGCCAGCCTCCCTTCCGAAGTTTTGAACGGGCCAAGTGACATCGCTGCCGTACCTTAGACTTGGTGAGAGGGGCGGCACCCACTTCCACCAGCATTCAAGCTTTAGATACCCCCACTGCGGGTGCAAGGCCACATAGGACACACCGCGACAAACCTGACTACTGCTGCTCCGACTCCGGCTGCTGCTGCTACTACTACCAGCTACAGTACTACAGTTCTTCAACCTACTACTCCTCCTACTTTACTTCCAATTCTTCTACTACTACTACTACTACTATTACTACCACCACTACTGCTACTGCTACTGCTACTGCTACCGCTACTGATACTGCTACTCCTACTACTACTACTACT